GAGGGATTGTGGGTTCATGGCTGGTCTTTCCAATAGTCTTTATAACTCATAACATAACAGAAGGGAATATTAAGCGTTTCTCAAACTAATAACACCATCTCTGCCAAATGATGATTCAGGAGTTTCTCACTGAAATACAGTAGATACGAGTGCAATGCATGGGACTTTAATGGCTTTTAATTTCTTCTTGTATCTGTTCAACTCAAGTTATTAATTTAGTGATAGACTGATATTGTCTAGGCCAATATTTGGTCATTTTTAAAAAATGAAAAAATGTTTGCAACCACTAAAAGTAGTGTTTTGCAATTGCAAACAGTGCTAAACATTGCAGCATTATAATGGATAAATAATGCAATTAAAAATGCAATTATATCATCATTATAATGGATAAATATAATGGCAATGCATTCATGTTTGAAATTTTCAAAGTGTTGTGTCATAAATTATGGAAAATTGCCAGAGAGAGTCCAAACTGAATCCATTAAACAATGCAATGATAAAATCCCTTTGGTTCTTGTGTGAACGGTCCTTCAGTCCGTGACATTCACACTGTGTGTGACATTATCCAGCAGAAATTAGTTCTGGGAGCCTTTAAAACGGGTGCCGCGCTCTCGATTAATCACAGGAGAGATCCTCTGGGTGTCTGAGCACTATATTCATGAAGAAACCTTTAGATGCAGCACATGATCTGAGAGGTCAACGCGTCTGTATGTCTGTGACTTATTGAGCAAGGGTTTTCATGAACATTTGCATTCGGGCTCTCCATAAACACCCATTGTGTTTGAATACTGAATGCCTTAATGTAAATGACAGGAATAATTCCTGCTCGGATGAATCTAGCAGAGCTTGACATTAATCATATAACGGGTCATACGCTGAACATGTGTGCTAGACCTGCGATTACAAAACTCCTTTCTCATGAAACACACACAGATTGACAAGGTGATTTGATGCTTCTTTTTTAATATGGACATGAATTCAGATGAAAACATTGTAATGCGTGTTCTTCCACTGCCCTCTGCTGGAGAAACAAGCACCAACAACATCTCCAATCACAGGCTTTCAACCGGAGGATATTGAAGAAATCAGAATCAGTTATATTTGCACATAACATTCTTCACACTAAGATAAAATGGTTGTTTTAAGAACTGATTACTGGAAGATTGAAACATGGTTCTTCACTGTAAAATCACTTCTTTTTTTACAGTAGTTTCTTTCAGATATGTGAAAAACCTTTTGCAACTGTAGAAAAACAGTGCTAAACATTGCAACATTTTGGCTACATAATGCAATTAAAAATATATCAGCACTACAGTATAATGGTTAAATAATGCACTTAAATATATACCAGCATTATGGTTAAATATTGCAATTAAAAATATACCAGCATTATAACGGTTAAATATTGCAATTAAAAATATACCAGCATTATAATGGTTAAATAATGCAATTAAAAATATACCAGCATTATAATGGTTAAATAATGCAATTAAAAATATACCAGCATTATAATGGTTAAATAATGCAATTAAAAATATACCAGCATTATAATGGTTAAATATTGCAATAAAAAATATACCAGCATTATAATGGTTAAATATTGCAATTAAAAATATACCAGCATTATAATGGTTAAATATTGCAATTAAAAATATACCAGCATTATAATGGTTAAATAATGCAATTAAAAATATACCAGCATTATAATGGTTAAATATTGCAATTAAAAATATACCAGCATTATAATGGTTAAATATTGCAATTAAAAATATACCAGCATTATAATGGTTAAATACTGCAATTAAAAATATACCAGCATTATAATGGTTAAATATTGCAATTAAAAATATACCAGCATTATAATGGTTAAATAATGCAATTAAAAATATACCAGCATTATAATGGTTAAATATTGCAATTAAAAATATACCAGCATTATAATGGCTAAATAGTGCAATTAAAAATATACCAGCATTATAATGGTTAAATAGTGCAATTAAAAATATACCAGCATTATAATGGTGAAATAATGCAATTAAAAATATACCAGAATTACAATGGTGAAATAATGCAATTAAAAATATGCCAGCATTATACTGGCTAAATAATGCAATTAAAAATATACCAGCATTATAATGGTGGAATAATGCAATTAAAAATATACCAGCATTATAATGGCTAAATAATGCAATTAAAATATACCAGCATTATAATGGTTAAATAGTGCAATTAAAAATATACCAGCATTATAATGGTTAAATAGTGCAATTAAAAATATACCAGCATTATAATGGTTAAATAGTGCAATTAAAAAATATACCAGCATTATAATGGCTAAATAATGCAATTAAAAATATACCAGCATTATAATGGTTAAATAGTGCAATTAAAAATATACCAGCATTATAATGGCTAAATAATGCAATTAAAAATATACCAGCATTATAATGGTTAAATAGTGCAATTAAAAATATACCAGCATTATAATGGCTAAATAATGCAATTAAAAATATACCAGCATTATAATGGTGGAATAATGCAATTAAAAATATACCAGCATTATAATGGTGAAATAATGCAATTAAAAATATACCAGCATTACAATGGTGAAATAATGCAATTAAAAATATGCCAGCATTATACTGGCTAAATAATGCAATTAAAAATATACCAGCATTATAATGGTGAAATAATGCAATTAAAAATATACCAGCATTATAATGGCTAAATAATGCAATTAAAAATATACCAGCATTATAATGGTGGAATAATGCAATTAAAAATATACCAGCATTATAATGGTGAAATAATGCAATTAAAAATATACCAGCATTATAATGGCTAAATAATGCAATTAAAAATATACCAGCATTATAATGGTGGAATAATGCAATTAAAAATATACCAGCATTATAATGGTGGAATAATGCAATTAAAAATATACCAGCATTATAATGGCTAAATAATGCAATTAAAAATATACCAGCATTATAATGGTGGAATAATGCAATTAAAAATATACCAGCATTATAATGGTGGAATAATGCAATTAAAAATATACCAGCATTATAATGGTGAAATAATGCAATTAAAAATATACCAGCATTATAATGGTGGAATAATGCAATTAAAAATATACCAGCATTACAATGGTGAAATAATGCAATTAAAAATATACCAGCATTATAATGGTTAAATAATGCAATGCAATTCACATGGCATTGATCATTTTGAGAATAATTTAGTGCACCCACCAAAAGAATGAAAGCCTTTCTATTTTTTTTTGTGTGTGTGAAATTCGTAAAGTATTATTATAGCAAATAAGTGATCATTAAATTTAAGCATTAAATTAAGGCCAGTGTCATTCTAGTAGGCCTATATGTTAATTTTAGTACTTTAGTATGTATTTTAATTTTAGTTAAAGTTTTAGTCATTTTGCTTTGTGCTTTTGCCATTTCTATTTTTATTTCAGTTTTAATAATTCAAAATAAAAACATGTTATTTCCGTTAGTTGCCATTGCATTACTCATTTTATTGTATTGTCTCCATTACAAATTTTTTTTTTTTTTTTTTTTTTACTTCAATTGGCTTTATGCACAGCTTCACTACTTCCTGAACTTCAGCCAGCACTTTGTTTCCTGTCTGTCATTATTGGACAAACTGATTAATCCAGGTGTGCCTGGCCTCAGTAACAATAATCAGGCACACCTGGATTAATCAGTTTGTCCAATAATGACAGACAGGAAACAAAGGGCTGGCTGAAGTTCAGGAAATAGTAAAGCTGTGCATAAAGCCTATTAATGAAAACCCCCATTTCAATATATTAGATTTATTTAACAATGGTATCGGCCAATATTGGGTTTATAATAAAACCCTTTCAAAGTCTATTTGCACCTATAGTGCCTGTTTGACAATCCAGTCTCAGCTCTGCATTAGTGTGAACAGATTAGTATAGAGAGCAAACCCCCTAATTAGAATATAATGAATAAAGTGAGCGAATCCAGGCCTGTAAACACATTTTTTACATCTTACAGTCACTTCTGCCCTGTGATTTCCACTAGAGGCCAGCATTTAATTCACGTTTGGTCACCCTGAACACACACACACACACACACACACCGGCCTCAATACATCCAGACCAACAGCATCTCCATTTGAATCATGTAATAATACAGGGCTTTTATTAGACGTTGCGTTCGCTCAAGTCTCCTGTATAATAAACACCCATGTTGCCATGAGAACAAGCAGCAAACTCACTGAGCAAACACTCAAAGTGCCAGTGGAAGTGCAGCACAACGAGCTGGACCCGAAACACACAGGTATCAGTGAAAGCCACATCAGACAGCTCAGACTCAGGAGGATCTGGACCAACAGACAGAAAAGTTTAAGACTCTGGGTGACTCGGTAACACTTTACAATTAGGTTTACATTAGTTAACATGAACTAACAATGAACAATACTTACAATCTACAGCATTATTCAATCTTTGTTTATGTTAATCACAGCACTGTTTTCACTAAAACATTAAAAAAGATTGATGTTTTATAAAATATTGCTCAATATTAGTTAATGCATTAACTAATGAGGGCTTACCAATTCATTTTTATGCTTTATTAAAATACATTTTACTAGAAGCCTTACATTGAAGCCAAAAGACAAACACAAGGTCACATGTGAGATGCATTACAGATCTAATCGAAACTAGACATCAAAAGAGACCTTTCATTCAAATCAGTTATGCATTCTATTTTAAGTAGGCTTTGCAATTGCATTACTATAAAAATTCATAATGCAAAATCTTCCCGAAAGTTATTAAACAAGTTACAGTAGGCAAACACTTGTTTAATTATTGCTCATAAATAACGCGCGTTGATCGCAAACGAATCCAAATATGGTGTTTAAAAAGCGTGCCATGATGATGTAATGCTGCCAAACATTCACATGATGGAGGTTTGTGGGGCAAAAGGGCAAAATGAGTCTGATCTACCCGCCCATGACAACCATCACCAACCCACACACAACAGCGGCAGCAGCAGCTCACAATCACAATCACTCAACATGAACACACTATAAACACGCTGAAACTCCGCTGAAACTCTCCGAGATCGATCCCGAATTCCCGATCGATGATGACGTCACCGCGGCAGAAGATCGCCTGAGCTGGTTTATTTCATAAAGGTGTCATGAGGAGACTTTAACAGGTGAGTTTACCAACACAGTGGGAGTTAGGACACGCTAAACTGACGTGTTTCATCAACTACTGTAAAGTGTGGCGATCTCATTTTAATTTAGAATTAAACGAGTTAAATACATTTCAAATTATTTTGCGCGCGAAGAGAGACGGTTGAAGTTTTGACGGCTTCAGGGATGATATCGTGAAAGATTTCGGTTTGCCATCAAAAATGCGCTTATTTTACATTATTGATTTTATTAGGCTATTTCTAATGATATATGATATAATGATAATAATGTAATAACATTTATTGCAAACCGAACAACTTATAAAACGAAATCTTCAATGGACCATTTTCACTGACTGATAAAGCTTTTTAATGGTCATCAACATCGCAAATCCTGCAGTTTTATATATATATATACACATTTATAACATTATACATTGTAATATTACATTGTATTATATTATATTAACTATTTAACACTGTTGTGAGGGTGTTTCTAATACAGCGGCTGTGTGAGTGACAGTTGACATCTTTCTCTCTTCTGTTCTGACTGCAATTATCAATCTCCCTCTTTTGCCCCCTCTTTTTGAAAGTTATGAAACACTTTTATGGAGTTTTTCTTTTGCTATGTGAGCAAATGGGTAAACAAAAAATATAGTCTCTCATTCACCGATATAGAAGTTAACCCAACTATGACGACTTCCGCTTCTGAGAAACACTGAATGTGAAAAGGGTCCATGTAGGCCCATTGTCTCACTGTTAACATTACAAATATTCATCTAATTTTTGCAAAAAAAAATTGATGCTGTTTAGTTCATCCTGAGCGTCAAAACAATGACTAGCTCTACTACTTATCCATGTCACTTGTAACTTTACTGTAGTTCACCTAATTCCCTTACAATTATGGTATCATACCATGGTATATTTAGATATGTTTTGACCTTCTGTGGTAAAGTTAGTGTTAGTTAACTATTCCTCCCTACACTGTAAACTTTACAAGAAAATACTGTTTTTCTACTTGTGTACTTGTAGTTTCTTTGTAATTTACTGTGAAATTTCCAGCAAATTCTGAGGTACATTTTTTTTTCTGTGTACCTGATTTGACCTTTAAGAATGACTAATGTAGTCTAATTTAAATAATGTAAAAGTGGTTAATTTAGGCCTTGTACTTCACACTAATACGGTTTTGTTTGAAAACGCATCTTTTTCTCTCAGTTTTGGCCTTGCGTCCACACTGAAGGCCCTTTCACACTGAGTCTGAAATTCGCGTCCGAAATTTTCGCACGTTAAAAAATAAATACGACCTCATGTTATGTCAATCACGCTTGCACACTGCCTCCGAAACTTTCGTCCGTCATAAAAAAAATAGAATCGGGTTCGATTTTCTGCGTTTTTCGCATCCGTAGCAGTTTGAATGGTGTTTGGACAATTCAGAGCCACTGAATCACGAATACGAAAAAAAAAAAAACGCATACAAAAATTTCGGACTCACCGTGCAAGGGCCTTGAGACAGCGTTTTTATTATTGAAAACGCTCTCCAAATTGGATAAATTTGAAAAACACCGTTTTCACGTTGTAGTGTGGACTGTCAAAACGGAAGTATTTAAAACCGATGACGTAAGTTTAGTCATGTGACGGATATTGTACCAAAAGATATTCATGTTTATACCAGTATTGTGCCTGTTATGTGCAATTCATTTTCACACAGTTGCTAAAATATGTTACTTCACTTTAGATGGTGACAATGGTGACCTATGAAAATCTGAGTAGGCTTCATGTTCATCAGGTGACTGACATATAAATCTGAAGATGATGTTTTGTGTCGCCCCATCGGAGCAGTGACGGACATGAACGGGAAAGGCTGTAATCTGATGGTTTCTCCCTGCAGTATGGCTCAGGTACCTCAGCTGAGGATCCACACGGGTCACTCCTCTTCCCCATCTCTCCATCCCGACTCCACCTCTGGGAGCTCGGCCCTCAGTCTCCGCCGCCAGGTGCTGATCAATGGGAAGTTGGGCTTTCCACAGTCGTCACGTCATCAAGCTTCGTCGCTTTCACTCCCAGCATCCTCTTCCAAACAATCGGTTCGACCCAGCGGCACGGACAATGGTAAGAAACAATCAAGAATAAACATCTCAGGTTTAAAGGCATAGAATATCCTGGCGTGTTCGATGGCTTTGAAAGTATGGAAACTTGTTTACTTTTTATCTCATAATTCAGAGTTTTTCCTCATAATTGCGAGTTTACATCTCAGAATTCTGAGTTTAGTTTCTCAATTGTTTTTTTTTCTTCCTACCATGGAATAAATAAAATAAAGGTAATTATGACCAATTTTCTTGCATTTGCAAGTTTACATCCAGCAATTCTGTTATTTTTTGTTTTCACCACAGAATAAATTTCTTAATTGCAAGATATAAACTCATAATTGAGAGTTTACATCTCGCAATTCAGATTTTTTTCCACTGTATTCAAACATCTCGCAATTGTTTGTTTTGTTTTCGCAACAAATAAAAAAAAAGGTCATTTTGACTTTTTACCTCACAATTCAGATTTTTTTTTCTCATATGTGCAAGTTTATATCTCGCAATTGTAAGTTATAAACTTTTAATTGAGAGATTACATCTTGCAATCCTGAGTTTACATTTACAAATTCTGTTTTTTTTTGTTTTTGTTTTACATTTTTCTGCCTTGGAATAAATAAAAAAAATCTCACAATTATGACTAATTTAAAATGTGTGGAAAAAAGTCAGAATTGTGAGGAAAAAGTCACAATTACCTTCTTTTTTCTTTTTCTTTTTTACCACAGTTTACCTTTTTTTTTTATTCTGTGGCAGAAATGAGCTTCCACATGAAAGTGCAGGCGATGTTCATCATTTAAAAGGGACACGTCCACAGTGAGGATGAAATAGGCCGTATCTCCATCCCTGCGCTCCACACTGCTCAGCCCAGTGAGCCACAACACCAGACATGATGCTTTGAATTAGATAAGGGACAATCCAACATCCCCACTCACATTTAAATAGCACTTCCAGCCTTCAATTCCTCTCGCACTCTCAGATATAACAGGTATTTCATCACAAGTGGACTTGAATTGAACTTAATCAGTCCTATGTATATAATACAGGTTCATAAAGTCAACATGAAACCCATTTACTTTATTAACTTACACTTCTGGTGTGCTTTGAGATTACTTTTCTTCCTGCCGATATCATCATCGATGCCCGATATAGAGACATTTTCACCATTAAATCAATTAATCATTGGTAAAATCATCAAGAAAAGTGAGTTGGAACACATTTTCTAGGGATGCACCGTTATGAAAATTTTGGCTGATACCGATAAACTATAATTCTTTATATTTGAAAGCCGATAACCGATATATCGGCCCATAAATCTAAATCAGAATTTTTATAAAATTTTTGAGAGCCTGATTACAAAAACAAAAGTCTCATCAATAAAAGCCACGTCCCAAACACACAATTATGATGTTCTCGTTATAATGTTATGTAGCCGATATGACAGACCTGTGCTCCACATGTTGCACTGAACTGTATTTTCCTTTTTTTAAGTGATTTCAATCATATTTCAAGCAATTCAAAATCAGCATCTGAAGAGTCTCACCTGAAGGAAATAATCCATTATTTATCGGTTTTAATATATCGGCCAAATTTTCTTATCAGGCCGATAACATAAAAAATTAACATATATCGGCCGATACCGAAATAGTGGCCGATATATCGTGCATCCCTAAAATGTTCATGTTGACTTGAAGTCAAGACATATTTATTTCTGAAGCGCTTTATACAATAGAGATCAAAGCAGCTTCACAGTAATAAACAAGAAAAAATTACAGTTTCAATATCTGATATATTTCAATATATGAAAGAAATTCAGATTCTGCTATGAGCTCTACAGAAGACAATTTGTCATTTTAGTACAATTTTGATTTAGTTGATGTGAGCCGTTATTGATAGTGTCATAATCATAAACCTGCCTTGTTTTATTGAAATATAGTGACTCATCTGGTCTCGACCTCCCCAAAAAACACAGATTTACATACTGGTTGATATATTTCATTTCAATATCGTCCAGCAGCTCCGACCACGTCTTCTCCCCCAAACCCTCGCTTTCATACTTTGGATGATTAACCAAGCAGAAACATGGACCTAAATGAGCCATGGAAGCAAAGCAGAGAGAGAAACTCGTTAGTACTTAACAGAGCAGAAACGCTTCTCTGGCTTATAGGAATTCCATGACTATTCATGTGTTTCTGTTTAATAGGGAACGGAAATATCACAAAAAGCTCCAGTAAGTAATTATAAAAAATGAACATAGTTTAAATTAAATGTTGAGTTGAAATGCTGAAAATTACGGATTGATTTGTGATTTGTAACACAGTATTGTTGATGGTCATTATTGCTATTTAAACAAAATCTCAACCATCTGCCTGTTATATAATTATTTTGGCAAAAATATAAAGTCACCATGAAATCAAAATGGACAATTCTTCTGTTTTTTTTTATGGAATGTTGAAGTATTTATTATAAATGATTTTTCCGTGCACAACCTGTCACTCACATCCACCAATAACAAAAAAACACAACCATCCAATCAATTCCCACGGATAAAATCAAGCCCCGCCCACATTTGTTCTTGTTCCAGAAGCGTTTCACTCGAATATACGGCACAATAGGGAAGAAACGACTAGCACAACTTCCCTTTAATGACGACTTTCATGCACAATTTTGCGATATTCAACTCAATATATATATTTGCTAAGCATGAGAAGACAGCAGAGGCCATCTTTATTCTCTTGTGCTTTGCAAACGTTCTTGAAATATCTGCATTCTTTATGTGTAATTTGCAAACTTAAGACATTCTGGTAAAGTTGCTTCGAATCTACAACAGGGAAACAATAAAACAGTTTCTTCCACAAAGGTTGAATAAGCAGTAACAAGGAAATATTCTCAAAAGGCAAAGTTATGAACAAACATTCTTCCAGTAACGTTAATAGAACGTTCGTTCGAAATGTTCTCGAAACGTTAGCACACAAACATTATTTATACGTTATTCATGGAAAGTTTTTACCTGAAATATTTAGTTGGATGACGTTTTTTAAATGTAACAACTTGTTTCGGAATGTTCAGAGAACATTTAAAAGTAACATTTCCATAATGTGTGAAGAATGGAATGTTAACTTAACGGTTTAAACATTTGAGAACATTTAAGAACTGGACATTTTCAGAACATCACAACATAATGGGAGCATTAGAAAAACAGTATTAGGCTGTGTGTCCACCAAAGCGATTTTTTCACGCGGCTGGCGTATTTTTCCAATTGTTTTCGATGGGAGCGCCGCGTTTTTTAAACGCCATGAGCGTTACGAAGGCGCTGAGCGTTTTTTCCGCACTGAAGCGCTGAACGCCCGGCGGTTTTTAGCGGTCGCCGAGAGTTGAAGAATGTTCAACTTTGAGGTAAAACGCAGCGCTCATCACTGTCACTTTTTACCCAGCCGTCCAATCACAGTGGAGGAGGGGCGGGGCTAATACCACACCGACCAACTGCCACATTCTGCTTGTACAACGTCAACAGACGACAACAACAAGCATAATAACGGAACAAAATAATTTAAAACAAGAGCCAGAGAAAATACGTTACATTGTATCGACATTTTAATATAGAAACAACACAGAAACAAAATATGTGTGAAATGAGATACTAGTAATACTTTCGCGGATATTCCATATCATAACAAGCAAAGCGTCTCAACTGAAAAAAATGCTAGAGATCAGCAAATCTATATAAGCAGGATCTATATACTGGAGATCAGCAAATATATATAAGCAGGCTCTATATACTGGACATCAGCAAATCTATATAAGCAGGATCTATATACTGGAGATCAGCAAATCTATATAAGCAGGATATATATACTGGAGATCAGCAAATCTATATAAGCAGGGTCTATATACTGGAGATCAGCAAATCTATATAAGCAGGATCTATATACTGGAGATCAGCAAATCTATATAAGCAGGGTCTATATACTGGAGATCAGCAAATCTATATAAGCAGGATATATATACTGGAGATCAGCAAATCTATATAAGCAGGATCTATATACTGGAGATCAGCAAATATATATAAGCAGGCTCTATATACTGGACATCAGCAAATCTATATAAGCAGGATCTATATACTGGAGATCAGCAAATCTATATAAGCAGGATATATATACTGGAGATCAGCAAATCTATATAAGCAGGGTCTATATACTGGAGATCAGAAAATCTATATAAGCAGGATATATATACTGGAGATCAGCAAATCTATATAAGCAGGATCTATATACTGGAGATCAGCAAATATATATAAGCAGGCTCTATATACTGGACATCAGCAAATCTATATAAGCAGGATCTATATACTGGAGATCAGCAAATCTATATAAGCAGGATATATATACTGGAGATCAGCAAATCTATATAAGCAGGGTCTATATACTGGAGATCAGAAAATCTATATAAGCAGGATCTATATACTGGAGATCAGCAAATCTATATAAGCAGAGTCTATATACTGGAGATCAGCAAATCTATATAAGCAGGATCTATATATTGGAGATCAGCAATTCTATATAAGCAGGGTCTATATACTGGAGATCAGCAAATCTATATAAGCAGGATCTATATACTGGAGATCAGCAAATATATATAAGCAGGCTCTATATACTGGACATCAGCCAATCTATATAAGCAGGATCTATATACTGGAGATCAGCAAATCTATATAAGCAGGATATATATACTGGAGATCAGCAAATCTATATAAGCAGGGTCTATATACTGGAGATCAGCAAATCTATATAAGCAGGGTCTATATACTGGAGATCAGCAAATCTATATAAGCAGGATCTATATATTGGAGATCAGCAATTCTATATAAGCAGGATCTATATACTGGAGATCAGCAAATATATATAACCAGGATCTATATACTGGAGATCAGCAAATCTATATAAGCAGGATCTATATACTGGAGATCAGCAAATATATATAAGCAGGATCTATATACTGGAGATCAGCAAATATATATAAGCAGGATCTATATACTGGAGATCAGCAAATATATATAACCAGGATCTATATACTGGAGATCAGCAAATCTATATAAGCAGGATCTATATACTGGAGATCAGCAAATATATATAACCAGGATCTATATACTGGAGATCAGCAAATCTATATAAGCAGGATCTATATACTGGAGATCAGCAAATCTATATAAGCAGGCTCTATATACTGGAGATCAGCAAATATATATAAGCAGGATCTATATACTGGAGATCAGCAAATCTATATAAGCAGGATCTATATACTGGAGATCAGCAAATCTGTATAAGCAGGATATATATACTGGAGATCAGCAAATATATATAACCAGGATCTATATACTGGAGATCAGCAAATATATATAAGCAGGATCTATATACTGGAGATCAGCAAATATATATAACCAGGATCTATATACTGGAGATCAGCAAATCTATATAAGCAGGATCTATATACTGGAGATCAGCAAATCTGTATAAGCAGGATATATATACTGGAGATCAGCAAATATATATAAGCAGGATCTATATACTGGAGATCAGCAAATCTATATAAGCAGGATCTATATACTGGAGATCAGCAAATATATATAAGCAGGATCTATATACTGGAGATCAGCAAATCTATATAAGCAGGATCTATATACTGGAGATCAGCAAATCTGTATAAGCAGGATATATATACTGGAGATCAGCAAATATATATAAGCAGGATCTATATACTGGAGATCAGCAAATCTATATAACCAGGATCTATATACTGGAGATCAGCAAATCTATATAAGCAGGATATATATACTGGAGATCAGCAAATATATATAACCAGGATCTATATACTGGAGATCAGCAAATCTATATAAGCAGGATCTATATACTGGAGATCAGCAAATCTATATAAGCAGGATCTATATACTGGAGATCAGCAAATCTATATAAGCAGGATCTATATACTGGAGATCAGCAAATCTATATAAGCAGGATCTATCTACTGGAGATCAGCAAATCTATATAAGCAGGATCTATATACTGGAGATCAGCAAATATATATAAGCAGGATCTATATACTGGAGATCAGCAAATCTATATAAGCAGGATCTATATACTGGAGATCAGCAAATATATATAAGCAGGATCTATATACTGGAGATCAGCAAATCTATATAAGCAGGATCTATATACTGGAGATCAGCAAATCTATATAAGCAGGGTCTATATACTGGAGATCAGCAAATCTATATAAGCAGGCTCTATATACTGGAGATCAGCAAATCTATATAAGCAGGATCTATATACTGGAGATCAGCAAATCTATATAAGCAGGATCTATATACTGGAGATCAGCAAATCTATATAAGCAGGATCTATATATTGGAGATCAGCAAAAAAAACAGCCGTTCCACGGCGTTCAAGTGCGTGAATAGCGGTTAGCGCTCTGCTAATTCTCTCTAATGATGCTCTCTTACTGTTATATGAAAATGACATACAAAGTGAAACTATTGCAGGTATTTTTCATTGCACTTTTTTTTTTATCTTTCCGTTTTAATTATTATTATTTTTTGGGGGGGGATTTTTTTTTTTTTTAAAGCTTAAATGGAGGCGTGGGTCAGAAAAAAGTTTGAGAACCACTGCCACAGTGTATGAAATGTGCTATATAAATAAGCTTGCCTGTACAAGGAAGGAGAGTAAGTATATCTCTAGGGCAGAACCGCCTCTGATCGACTGAAAGCACCGCTTGATTATTATTCTCTGCTGGAGTCTTTTACTGCCAGCTTTTCCTGCTCTTTAATGGCAAGATTTCATTCAGACAGTCTGAACTTTAGTATTACGTGACTTCTGGACAGAAGATTTTATATAATACAAGCGTGAATTGTCTTCATTCAGTCATGGGTTATAAATGTGTGATGACTCTTTCTCAGGTTACTTGTCTTTGGGGATGAACAGAAACGTTTTTGGGCCGTACGGCAGTTCAAACCTGCAGGTGACGAGTAACGCCATGCTGGTCCACAGTCTGGGTCCGGTTCCTCCATCCGTCACTCAAACTTCAGCCCAAAACAACCCGCCTCATTCACTCGCCGTTCCCTTCGCTGATGCCAGGTAAATATCCTTACGGAGAATCCCTCATCAAACGTCCATATGACTTTTGCACTAGATGCCAAATAGATTAATATACAAGTCATTATTTTCCCCTCCAAAGCTCTCAAATCTCATCTAATTTATGCTTCTACATATTCAAACTTGGCACATCATAATTTACTCACATTCATGTTGCTCCATGACTTTCTTCTCTGAATCTGAAATGCACTGCAAAAGTCATGTGGACAAGAAATCGAACATATATACAGGTGAAACTCGAAAAATTAGAATATAGTGCAAAAGTTCATTTATTTCAGTAATTCAACTTAAAAGATGAAACTAATATATAGACTCATTATCAAGCCTTTATTTGTTATAATTGTGATGATTATGGCTTACAGATATGAAAACCTTTTCACAATATTCTAATTTTGAATTTGGGGTTTTCATAATCTGTAAGCCATAATCATCACAATTATAACAAATAAAGGCTTGAAATATCTCACTTTGCATGTAATGAGTCTATATAATATATTAGTTTCACCTTTTAAGTTGAATTACTGAAATAAATGAACCTTTGCATTGTTAACTAAAACTATAAAAAAAACATTTCTGTTATATTTAAAAAAATTGAATATAAATATTAGTTTAAAACCTTAAACCAAATCAAAATTAAAAATGTTGCCTTGGCAATAAACTGAAATAAGTTTAAGTTGAAGCACTAAAATTATTAACTGAAAACAGACAAAAACTTAAACTAAAATATATAGCGAGATGAAAAAAACTAAAACAAATAAAATGACAAAAGCACTAAAAAATTTAACTAAAATGAACATATAAAAATATAAAAGCTAATTCAAAATATTTAAGTCTCCCTATAGTCAATAATTTTATCCCTTAACTCATCTTTCATCACCAAAATTACATATTTAAAACTTCTTTATCAGGAAAAAAAATGTCTTGTGCCTTGAATGTAACCCGACACCCTTGCCTCATTTAGTATGCGTGGGTCTATGAATATGCAAATGAGCCCCGCCTCCACTCACTCCCTCAGCTCAGAGATCCACTGGTTGACGATCACACGTTGATCTGATTGGTTACAAGGTCGTTTGTGACGTCAGAAACACCAGCGATTTCAAACCGTGTTTTTGAGACTGTCTTTGGTTCACTGCAGTTTTAAGCAGAAAATACTCAGCAATGCTGTCGACTTATGAACTTACACATGGTGTGTCTTAAAGAATATTAATAACACCACATAGACACATAAACAACATTAAAAGCTGGAAAAGAAAAAAACTTTATCTAAAATAAAAATAAATAGCAATATTTCGAAAATGACAATTTCCAACAAAGAATATACAAAATAAAAGCTAATTCAAAATATGATTATAACTAAAATAACAGATTTAGAATGACATTAATGACATGATCTATTGCAGGTGTTTGCTGTCCAGAGAGTCTTTAGCCTCGACGACGCTCAGCCTCGCCGAGACCCAGTCGATGCGCAGCGGGAAGCTGGACTGGCCGTACGGGTACCGGGTTCTGCCTCCTCTGGGTCTCACACACACATCAGAACCGGCGGACCTCATGCCAGAGTCGCTCTCCAACCCCACGTCTCTCCCTCATTACCTGTTCAAGGAGGACCACAGCCTCTCGTCCCGGTCCAAGAAGAGAGCGCTGTCTTTATCTCCTCTCTCGGACGGGCTCGGACTCGACCTCAACTCCATCATCAGAACCTCCCCGACGTCTCTAGTGGCGTATATAATCGGGTCTCGAAACTCTCCGGCATCGTGTCCGACCCCTGGAGAAAAAAAAACATGTTAAGTATACTTGTCAAGTCAAGTCTTCATTTATACAGCGCTTTAACAATATAGAGTTTCACAGCAGCTTTACAGAGATAACAGGAAAATACTGCAACAAAGTTTGTTTATAGAAGTAAATAGCGTCACAGTCCAGCTTAAGTCAGTTCAGTGATGCTTCATTTCTGTTGTAAAAAAGTTATTAATTTAGTTCATTTATATATACAGGTGAAACTCGAAAAATTCGAATATCGTGCAAAAGTTCATTTATTTCAGTAATTCAACTTAAAAGGTGAAGCTAATATATTATATAGACTCATTACATGCAAAGTGAGATATTTCAAGCCTTTACAGGTCCTTCTAAAAAAATTAGCATATTGTGATAAAGTTCATTATTTTCCATAATGTAATGATAAAAATTAAACTTTCATATATTTTAGATTCATTGCACACCAACTGAAATATTTCAGGTCTTTTATTGTTTTAATACTGATGATTTTGGCATACAGCTCATGAAAACCCCAAATTCCTGTCTCAAAAAATTAGCATATTTCATCCGACCAATAAAAGAAGTGTTTTTAATACGAAAAAAACCCCGTCAATCTTCAAATAATTATGGTTAGTTATGCACTCAATAGTCAATACTTGGTCGGGAATCCTTTTGCAGAAATGACTGCTTCAATGCGGCGTGGCATGGAGGCAATCAGCCTGTGGCACTGCTGAGGTGTTATGGAGGCCCAGGATGCTTCGATAGCGGCCTTAAGCTCATCCAGAGTGTTGGGTCTTGCGTCACTCAACTTTCTCTTCACAATATCCCACAGATTCTCTATGGGGTTCAGGTCAGGAGAGTTGGCAGGCCAATTGAGCACAGTAATACCATGGTCAGTAAACCATTTACCAGTGGTTTTGGCACTGTGAGCAGGTGCCAGGTCGTGCTGAAAAATGAAATCTTCATCTCCATAAAGCTTTTCAGCAGATGGAAGCATGAAGTGCTCCAAAATCTCCTGATAGCTAGCTGCATTGACCCTGCCCTTGATAAAACACAGTGCACCAACACCAGCAGCTGACATGGCACCCCAGACCATCACTGACTGTGGGTACTTGACACTGGACTTCAGGCATTTTGGCATTTCCTTCTCCCCAGTCTTCCTCTAGACTCTGGCACCTTGATTTCCGAATGACATGCAAAACTGAGCAACAGTCCAGTGCTGCTTCTCTGTAGCCCAGGTCAGGCGCTCCTGCCGCTGTCTCTGGTTCAAAAGTGGCTTGACCTGGGGAATGCGGCGCCTGTAGCCCATGTCCTGCACACGCCTGTGCACGGTGGCTCTGGATGTTTCTACTCCAGACTCAGTCCACTGCTTCCGTAGGTCCCCCAAGGTCTGGAATCGGTCCTTCTCCACAATCTTCCTCAGGGTCCGGCCACCTCTTCTCGTTGTGCAGCGTTTTTTGCCACACTTTTTCCTTCCCACAGACTTCCCACTGAGGTGCCTTGATACAGCACTCTGGGAACAGCCTATTTGTTCAGAAATTTCTTTCCGTCTTACCCTCTTGCTTGAGGGTGTCAATGATGGCCTTCTGGACAGCAGTCAGGTCGGCAGTCTTACCATGATTGCGGTTTTGAGTAATGAAACAGGCTGGGAGTTTTTAAAAGCCTTAGGAATCTTTTGCAGGTGTTTAGAGTTAATTAGTTGATTCAGATGATTAGGTTAATAGCTTGTTTAGAGACTCTTTTCATGATATGCTAATTTTTTGAGACAGGAATTTGGGGTTTTCATGAGCTGTATGCCAAAATCATCAGTATTAAAACAATAAAAGACCTGAAATATTTCAGTTGGTGTGCAATGAATCTAAAATATATGAAAGTTAAATTTTTATCATTACATTATGGAAAATAATGAACTTTATCACAATATGCTAATTTTTTGAGAAGGACCTGTATTTGTTATAATTGTGATGATTATGGCTCACAGCTTATGAAAACCTTTTCACAATATTCTAATTTTGGATTTAGGGTTTTCTTAAGCTGTAATTATAATCATCACAATTATAACAAATAAAGGCTTGAAATATCTCACTTTGCATGTAATGAGTCTATATAATATATTAGTTTCAGGTTTTAAAGGGGTGATGAACTGAGAAATCAAATTTTCCTTGAGCTTTTGACATCTAAGAGGTCATCATATTATAAGAATATCCTGTAAGTTTCAGAACTGAAAACGTCCTTGTTAGTCCAATAAAAGCTTTTGTTGACACCAGGCTCAGCAAACGACTCGTTTTTCAAAGTGGGGAACTATGACGACAAAGAGGATAAAACACCACCCCCGCAGAAGAAGATCAACGCCTACTTCAACACGGCCGGTTTAGCCCCGCTGAGTTTCATTACACGAAACTCATTATAATATGCAAAACTGTTATCCACTCACAGCAGTGGGCGTTTACTTCCAAGTCTTCAATGCGAGATGCCCATAAAAACTAGAGTAGAAAATAGCCTATTACTTATTCATTTTGATGTTTTTGAATGTAAAAACCAAGCGAACGTCATAAGTTGACCTTAGACAACAATATAAAAAAATTTAAAAAGCCAGTTCATGACCCCTTTAAGTGATATATATCTGGCCGCTCTGGAGAAAACCGTGATGTCATCGTCCAGCTCAGTTCTCATATAATGCTGTCAATGCAGGAGATCAATAACACGAAATGTCCCAGACTAACTCGGCAATATAATAAAGTATACTTGTTCTTCCACTAGGGACTCCTTCGCCATTGCAGTCTGACGTTTGCGGACACTTTTTGGGAGTCAGAGGAAGTTGCATCCCTCATCCGAACCATGGAAAACACACAAACAAGAGTGTGTGTGTCCAAACGGACTCGGAGAGTTTCCGAATGCAGCATTTAGAGGGAATAGAAGATCAATTCACTAATCTAGTGGTGGAGCAGCAGCTTCTCCCCGCACACGAGATCCAGAACAAACACTCGCCTTCAATACAGCTGAAGTTTTCGGCTTTAATCCGAACGCCCAGTCCTCCTCGAGGGCCTCCACCTCCATATAACGCTCACTTTCGAGGATCCCACACTCAGAACTCGATGGTTCTCCCCTCCATGCTTGAGGAGGACGAGGACGAGGACTCGAGCGGAGGTCACTGCTGTCGCTGGCTGGACTGTGGCGCTGTGTTCGGGCCCCGGGACGAGCTGGTCAAGCACATCGAGAAGGTCCACGTGGACCAGCGTAAGGGCGAGGACTTCACCTGCTTCTGGGCCGCGTGTCCGCGCAAACACAAGCCTTTTAACGCGCGCTACAAGCTGCTCATACACATGCGGGTCCACTCCGGGGAGAAGCCCAACAAGTGCTCCGTGAGTCACTCCTCATTACAGATCAGCTCATGCACACTGTTGATGACAACAAACAGAATATAAAACACACAGTTATACATTATTTTTGAAAAGTATAGAAAAAGCACATTATATATATATATATATATATACATATTAAATAAAATGAGGCTATATATACCTGTGTGTAATTAAAAAAGTTTTTGCTATATACATACACACACACACACACGCGTATGCAGACACATACACACACATGTATGCACACACACTCATGTATACACACACATACACACACACCACACACACACACACACTCATGTATACAAACATACACACACACACACACACACACGTATGCAGACACATACACACATGTATGCACACACACTCATGTATACACACATACACACACACACACACACACTCATGTATACAGACATACACACACACACACACACACGTATGCAGACACATACACACGCACGTATACACACTCATATATAC